CTAAAGCTCCTCACATTTTGGGAGGATTGTATTAGGAGTTTGATGCCATATAAACTACAGTATATACAATAATGTGTGGAGTGAGCAGAAATAGAGACTTTGTTCACTGAGACACAACAACTTTTATTTTTCTGTTTGTCTCAACTCTCCATGGAGCTCTGCCATATCTGCTGGTAGCTGCTTCCTCCTGAAGGAGATCCTGTTGTTCTGATGGTTCTCCTCATCGTTCTCCATGTCAGCCATGTTGCTCTCCTTCTGCTCCCTGGGAAAAGTAATTAGATGTTATAGCTTATAGCACATAAATGTAGATAAATAACAGAGTTACTAATGTGGAAGTTACATACACATAAGGAATTATTTAAAACAGACATGTTACTTTATATATAATAGCAAACACTTTTTTTTTTTTACCATCCAACCATCCAGAATTATAAATAACTGGAATAGTGTAAATTAAAGACAAAATGTAATTACTTTTAAGTTTTAGACCTATGCATGCATACAGCCATGGATAAAATACCACTCGTTTTCTTCAGGTTTTTTTTTCATTCTACAATTACTGATTCATAATTTGATTAGAGAACTGATATCTAGCCATTTTACAATAGGATGTCATATAACATGTTTTATTATCTCCCAACGGGGGAAACTCAGATGCAACAGCAAAATGAGAAACAATCGAAGCACATAGATTCACGCAAGATAAACAAAAGAAGGTAACATGCTGTACAATATTGAGTTATTTATAACTGTAATGTGCAACAGAGTGTCTTCAGAAAATGCGCATGTTTGTTTGAGCAATAAAAATACAGCAGACATTGTGTTTTAAATGTCTTCCATGACTGTATGTATGCAACCTTAAATGTAGTACAAACCAGACAGATATATCTACAAACTGCTCACCTGGCTGGAGAGCAGCAGCGGCGTCAGCTGCGTCTGCGTCGGTGTTCACCGTGGGGCTCCGTCGGCTCCGAAGCGGCTAACGAGGCTTTACATTCGCTCCACTACTGACAAAAACGACTCATTCCTCACGGCTCCATCGAGCTGCCGCTGAATATTGAAATCCGAAGCAAAGAAAAAAGCCGGCATCTTTTTTTAGTTAACGGCTTGTTTGTATCTTCCATCACTTCCGTGTTGCAGCGAGTTTCAAACG